CAGAAGTCCTCTGTGTATGGGTATATAATGTTGGATTGCATCGATTTGCACTTAGCTTCTTGTGAATTCTGATTAATGCTTCATTGTTTCAGATTACACTGAATCAAGAACACAAGTATATGTTAAGTTTTGCTCCAGATTATGACCATCTGCCTCTCATAGCAAAAGTAGAAGTGTTTGATTATGCTCTGCAAAATACAGAGGGGAATGACCTCGCAAGGGTATGTATTCCCGATGCATATTCTTCTCTTTATTTCTTTTTGCTCAAAAAGTTGAATATGTTATCTCAAACTTGCTAGAGCTGCTTCTGGTAGGTTCTTTGGTTGAAAAGTCGCACTTCTGAAGTATGGCTTGAGAGGAGAACGAACTATACTAGAAGTTTAGCTGTCATGAGCATGGTACAAGTTTATCTTGTTTCATATTCTTTTCTTTCCTCAATTTTGAGCTAGTTGAGATTTTGTTTCTTTTACATATGCATGCATCTCAGTGCATAGACATACAAATAAATTGAGGCACTTGTGCCATAAGATTACATTCCAACTTTCGAAGCTGAGATTTATTTACTGTCAACAAATCTTGTCTGCCGAATTCCTGTAGTATATATTGTTCTGCTTTCTTCCTTATCTTATTTGCACTTCACACCGAGTATAAAGTAAGTTTCTTTGATTTCAGGTTGGTTACCTTCTTGGCTTAGGTGATCGTCACCCAAGTAATCTTATGCTACACAGATCTAGGTACCTTATGAGTAGTAATTGAGATGGAAATTGTTTATGTTAGGAGTTCTTCAGTATCTCTTACTTTTCTTTTGTGTTACAGTGGGAAGATATTGCACATTGATTTTGGGGACTGCTTTGAAGCTTCCATGAACCGTGAAAAGTTCCCTGAGAAGGTAATCACTCTTTGAAAAACCTCTTGTTCTGTGATTTTCATTAGCTACCTTGCTTTTCCTTACTTTATATACATAATGCAGGTTCCCTTCCGGTTGACTAGAATGCTTGAGAAAGCGATGGAGGTCAGTGGTATTGAGGGAAACTTCCGTTCAACTTGTGAAAATGTGATGCACGTGTTGCGAACAAATAAAGATAGTGTCATGGCCATGATGGAGGTATAGGTGCAGAGAATTATTTATTTTGTTTGC